TTGAGACCTAAGAAATTGTTCTAGGGTCTAGATGAAAAATACTTGAAAATTATCCATTGAGCTCCTATGTCCATTAAATTATTTGGAATATGCCCAGCCCAGACTGCTGTGGGATTTTACACAGCAATCTTTGCAACAAATGCCTGCACTGAAATATTGCTGAGCTGGGCATCTGAGAGCACTGTATCTCACCTGAGAAACAACATGTCCTCAACCATTACAGAGTGTGCCAGGGGTTTTCAAAGGAACCCAAAGTTGTGAGGTTTCCAACTCCCATGGGAAGTGAGTGTTTACATGGCTTCAGACCCTTTAAAAACTCCACCCTGTGTCAGAATGCAGAAACACAAGGGCAGGGCTCAACTTCTCAGGTCTATGTATTTTTGTTATTTGCTATTATTTTATTCATACATTTTATCCAGCATTCCCATAGAGACTTTCTCTTAGTTTTTTGACGTTTTTCTCAACATTATTCCCTATGTACAGTGGGTGTTGAAAATAATATTGACACTAATACGAAGAAGAAGAAGAAGAAGAAGACGAGTGATATGACACTTCTGGGAAACTGAAAGTTTTTATTCATACAATTAGCCCCACTCAGAGCAATGGGGGTACTGTGTCAATCACAGTTACACACGCTTACAAATACCTGCAGGTTTATAATCCTAGGCTGGAGATTCTTTCAGGGTACCGCCTGTCCATTTTCACTACATGATTTAGCAGAGTTTAGCTCTGAGCTACAACAGTCAAAGCAGGCTGGGGGTATCCACACCCAACTCCCATTCGTTTTAAGGTGCTAATCTAATCATAATTCTGTCTTGTCGTCCAGCAGTGCAAAAAAGAGTTTCAAACATAGGTGGTGGAACTAGAGGTGCTGCTTCAAGCCTGGCTTGAAGTGGTTTCCATCAGATACAGGGTTTCCAGTTTGGTTCAATGTCTCTCAGCATCCGCACTATGCAAATTGTTCCAGAACCCCTGCTTTCAAAGGCTTGCCTCCTTCTTCTTAGAGAAGAAGAAAAAGACGGTTTCAGACATTAGTAATAGTACTAACCCCTAGCATTTATAGAGAGATTTCCATCAGGAGGTCTCAGAGCACTTCACAAAGGAGGGTCAGGTCAGGGTCTCTGTCCCATCTTTACAGAGAGAAGTGACGGATCCAAGCAACCCAGCAGACCAAGGAAGAAACAGCCCGTATCCCATGGCCCAGTCTCGTGCTCTGTGCGCTAGGACACAGTGGCAAGGAACTCACAAACTGAGAACAGACAGAGCTCAGTGGCAGGTGAACAATCAATGGTGCATTTTGTCTGTCAGAGGCAGCAAGCATCCCTGAAGAGATCAGAGAGATTCTAACTCTCCTTCTCCAGCTGAATATCTTCTTCCTCCGAACCCGTCTCCCAGAGGCCTGAGTTTAATGAGGGTTGCGGTCTGTTGTGTGTTTTTTAAAGAGGGAAGATGCAAATTCAGTGTCTCGGGGCCCTGCATAAATCTGGTGTCTTCTGGATGGCAGAGTATGAAAAGGGAGCAGGCCAAGATCTTGGCATCTTTGCAGTAACCGTCAGAAACCCCTCCAGCGTCAGCAGCAGGATATTGTGGCTGAATCTTCTCTTTGCCCTAGCAGCCCTTCCAGGTAATTCTCCCCTCCCTCGCCCCCAACATTGGCTGGAGACTCCAGGGAAGGTTGTACATTCCTTCCCCAACCCAAAGCGCAGTGAAGTGAATGGGCATCTTTCCAACGGCTTCTGTGAGCTTTGGCTCAGGTCTTGTATTAACATGATTCTTAATAGCCTTTTTCCTTCTTCTTTTCCCCCTAGATGTGCAGTCCCAGGTTCTTCTGGTGGAGTCTGGAGGTGGAATTCAGAAGCCGGGGGGATCTCTCCCCCTCTCCTGCAAAGCCTCCGGGTTCACCTTCAGCAGCTACCACATGAGCTGGGTCCGTCAGGCGCCCGGGAAGGGCCTGGAGTGGGGCTCACGGATATACAACCCTGCTAATAGCCACTGCATGTTTTACAGCGATGCGGTTAAAGGGCCATTCACCATCTCCAGAGACGACTCCAGCAGCCTGGTCTGCAGATGAACAGCCTGAAAGCGGAGGACACCGCCCGGTATCACGGTGCGAGAGACACAGCGATCAGAAACCAACTGCCGTGAATACAGAAACCTCCTCCTCGAATCCAACCAGCTCCCAGCGCCCGCAGAGACCAGCAGACACAGACACAGCAGAGCAGTTTAGACACCAAGAAACCGCCAATAATGGATCCGGGCTTCAGTCATCTCAAAATGCGCCTTGGCAATTAAAGACTCACTATGCTGAGAGAATAGAGAGGACTTTACTTCGTGGCTGGCAATGCAGAGCTAGAATCCATCTCAGTTGCTATTGATCATTAGCTTTCTGCCCTTCGACCTGCCTTGTGAACATGAACTAAGAGGAAGAAATGCCAGAGACATTATTTAAAGAGTCTGTTTGCCAGAAGCTGGGAATGGGTGACAGGGGATGGGTCACTTGATGATTCCCTGTTCTGTTCATTCCCTCTGGGGCACTTGGCATTGGCCACTGTTGGGAGACAGGACACTGGGCTAGATGGACCTTTGGTCTAACCCATTATGGCCGTTCTTATCTTCTTAACGCTCGTGGTGGAACCTCCCTAAAATTTTACACCCCCAGGGCTGTCCTATTCAACATATTCATAAATGTTCTGGAAAAAGGGGTAAACAGTGAGGTGGCAACATTTGCAGATGGTACAAAACTATTCAAGATAGTTAAGAGCCAGGCGGACTGCGAAGAGCTACAAAAGCAGTGGTAACCCCCTGGTCAATCGCGATCAACTGGTAGATCCTAGAGGATTGCAATCTCCGGCAGCACAGCGGGTTGCCGCTAAGACAGGCTCCCTGCCTGCCTCGGCCCCACGCCACTCCCAGAAGTGGCCAGCACGGCCCGTGGCCCAGGAGGTGGGGGGGCAGGGGGAATCTCCCTCCGCACACTGCTCCTACCTGCAAGCACCACCCCCGCAGCTCCCATTTGTTGGGAATGGGGAGCTGTGGCCAACAGGGCAGTGCTTGCAGAGAGAGGCAACATGCGGAGCCATGTGCCGCCCCCTTCACCCCCACCCCAGGGGCCACAGGAGTGTGTTGGCCATTTCCAGGAGTAGTGTGGGGCCCAGGTAGGCAGGGAGCCTGCCTTAGCCGCTGGGGGTAAATGCTGCCTGGCAGGAGGCCGCACTCCAAGCCCCAGCCCTGAGCTCCCTCCTGGAGCCAGCACCCCATGCCCCAGGTGTGGGCAAACTACGGCCCGGGGGCCGCATCCGGCCCTACAGACATTTTAATCTGGCCATTGAGCTCCTGCCAGGAAATGGGGTGAGCCATGGCTTCATGCGGCTCCTGGAAGCAGCAGCATGTTCCCCCTCCGGCCCCCATGAGTAGAGGTAGCCAGGGGGTTCCACACACTGCCCCTGCTCCAAGCAGTGCCCCTGCATCTCCCATTGGCTCCCATATGCCCACCACCTGCATGGATGGGGCAGCGTGCAGAGCCACCTGGCTGCACCTCTGCTTGGGAGATGGAGACAGGCCATGCCGCTGCTGCTGGGAGATGCTTGAGGTAAGCACCGCCTGGAGCCTGCACCCCTGACCGCCTCCAGCACCCCAACCCCCTGCCCCATCCCAGATACCCCTCCCACCCTCCAAACACCTCAGACCCACCCTCCTGCAACACAGAGCCTGCACCCCAAACTGTAGCCCTCACCCCCCCTCCCACACCCTGAACTCCTCATTTCTGGCCCCACCCCAGAGCCCAGCACCTACAGCCGGAGCACTCAACCCCTCCTGCATCCCAACCCCAATTTAATGAGCATTCGTGGCCCATCATACAATTTCCATACCCAAATATGGGCCCGGGACCAAATATTTGCCCACCCCTGCCATACCCCTCGTGCACCCCAAGCTCCGGCGCTAACTCTGCTTTCCATGTCCCATCCTCAGGCTCAAAGGGTACTGACTGGTGCTTTGATGAGCCAATGTCCTTACTAATCTTCTGCAAGATCCTTCATTCTTTACTCCCACCACCTGTCCCAGTTAAATCAATGGGGTCACACACACGGGGAATAAAGCCCGCAGGATTTCATTATTTCATGCCCGCATACGGATCTGCACAGGAATATTTCGCTAGTCTTGTTGCTCACCGGGGTGTGTCATTCAATCAGAATTGCTGAGTCTCTGTAGGAATCATCCTCATTAGCTCTTGCTCTATGATAACTCCCTTCCCTGTTTTGCAAACACCTGCACAGAAATTTCAAGCCATCAGTGGCAGAATTGTCGTGACTCAGTTGCGTGCACACAGGGCATCCTCCAGCCAACACGGGACTAACCAGCCGGTGGTTCTGGGTTTGTTCGTTTGTTTCTCTGACTTTCATGGGCTTCCCATCAGTCTGTAGCAGGGCTGGAGTATTTACAGCGCACTGCCCACAACAACGCAGCGTGACTCAAGTTACCCAGCTCAGAAACCAGTCACATTTCCCATGGTAAGGAGAATCCACCCGATGTGTGGCTGGAAATGTTCCCGTGAGGTACTGAAAACACCCCCGGTCATTGCCATGATTTTAGGAGGCGAAGAGACATTCCTCCATTTTAGGCCCTCTCGTGGCCACATCACATGGCATCTGGGGACCTCCTGGTCTTTCATGAGTTTGTCCTCACAAGAGCGCTGTGAGGCAGGAAAGGGCTGGAGTGTCCGAGGTGCGGGTGGGGGCCTGAAACACAAGGGGACACGTCACACTTGCCCAGGGTAACCCAGGGAGTCTGTGGAGGAAAAGGGGGATGGATCCCCATGCCCGTAACTCCAGCCTGGATCCCTAACCACTGACGTCTGACTGCGCCTCCCTGAATCCCCAAACCGAGGTTTTCAGAGGCCGCTCTTAGGGAGCTTGTCTCTCTTATAAGGAGGGGGATATGCAAATAGGAGTGACAGGTTCCTGTTTAAATCTGTCCCTCTCAGTGCCCGGGCTGCAGCCGGAGGGACAATCCGCAGCCCCTGGGTCTCTGCAGTTACCGGCCAAAAGTCTGAAAACTTTCCCCAACAACAACGCGGAAAATGACACTTTGGCTCCATTTGGTTTTCTTTGTAGCGGCTCTGGAAGGTAATTTATCCCCCGTTAATACACAGGAGGGGTGGGGTATCTGGGACTATTGCGGCTGCTATCGATGTGGGGTGGGACACTTCTTTCTTCTGTCGTCTCCCACCGACTGATGTACAAAGTGCCCAGTGTGGCTGGTTCTCCCACTGTTCCCTGTTCACTTGCCATTGAACCCGGGGCTAATGACTGGTTTCATGTGGCGACTGAGCTTTAATTCCAATCTGCCATTTCCCTTCTCCCCCAGGGGCCCGCTCGCAGGTGGTTCTGACCCAGTCGGGGCCAGCGCTGAAGAAGCCCGGAGAGTCCCAGAAACTGCAATGTGCCACCAGCGGGTTCACTCTTAGCAGCTACTGGATGGGCTGGATCAGACAGGAGCCGGGACAGGGGCTGGAGTGGCTGGCTTGGTATTACAATGAAGGAAACAAGTACTACGCCTCCTCGGTCCAGGGCCGGTTCACAGCCTCCAAGGACAGCACCAACTTCTACCTGCAAATGACCGGTCTGAGAGCGGAGGACACCGCCGTGTATCACTGCGCCAGACACACAGCGAGGGGAAGCGAGTCTGAGCTCAGCCAAAAACCTCCCCCTGCAGTAACAGCGCGACGTGTCCGCTGCTGAGGGCGCGAACCAGCCCCTGACTGCCCGGGACAGGCGATGAGAGCAGCCCGGAGAAAGTCTCCCAGGCTAGAAATACTTGCAGACTGGTGCAGTTTCAGAATCGGTTTGACTCACTACCCCTGGAACTCCTCTGAGCATCAGACAGGGTGCTGGAAAGATTTATTCTCTCTCCCTTTTTCTTCGATTCCAGACACACAAACAAAACACTGATGCATACAGAAAAATACACAAACACACATACAGGCAATCACTGCTGCACAAGAACACAAACAGAGACAGCATGCAAACACGCATACAAACACATAAATATACACAATCACTCAAAAAACAAATACACATCTGAACACAAAAAGCAAACTCAGACACAAACAAACTCTTCCTTACACCAATATATACACATAAACACACACACAAACAGATTAGTCTTTTAACATGCAGAAAACTCTAACACAAACACATATAAACACAAACACACAAAAAGCTGTCCCGTTGAAGTCATGCACTAGACTCATGGGACCTGGGTTCTGTTCTTACCTCTACCAGGGAATTACTGGGTGACCTTGGGCCTCTCACTTTACCCCCGCCTCCCCAGTCGCAGGATAAGGTCTGGTCATTTTAAGGTTAAGATAAGTGCAACTGTGTCTTAGTGGGTCACAACTGGAAATGCCAAAGACAGGATGAACTGCTGAGAAATAGGGCAAACACAACCCAAAACTGGTGTTTATTTTTTTATAAGATATACCAAAGCAGCCACAAAAGTAAATTCCTGGTTCACCACAGTGGCTAACAAGAAAACATAAAGGCAGTTTCCTCAGGCATCCCAGCTCTTATATCACCACCAAAAACACTAGGTTCAGAGATGAGTGGTTTTTTTACAACCCGTCTCATCAAATAATAGGTTCTTCTCATCCCAAAGGACCAGCCACACACCCAGGTCAATATACAACTTTGATCTTACCCCAAAATCATGCTGATGCCAATCTCTTAGTTTCTCAAATCTGAAAGAAAGAAAGAAAGAAAGAAAGAAAGAAAGAAAGAAAGAAAGAAAGAAAGAAAGAAAGAAAGAAAGAAAGGTGAGAGTTACAAATGGTTAAAGGAATCAATGACATCCAGTAATGGCAAAGTTCGTGGTTCAGGCTTGTAGCAGTGATGGACTAATCTGCTGTCTTAAGTCAAGTCCCTGGAGGACACCCACAGCTGGGATGGGTCATTCAGTCCTTTGTTCAGAGCTTCAGTTTGTAGCAAAGTCCCTCCAGAGGGAAGAAGCAGGACTGAAGACCAAATGGAGAAGATGCAGCTGCCGTTTATAGTCATTTGCCATGCGGCCTGTGCTTCCTTTGTTTCAAACACAAGCTGCCCAGCACGTGGCTGGGAAGCCTCAGGACTAGTCTACACTGGCAACGTTACAATGCTGCCTTGGCAGCGCTTTATTGCGGCTTGTGCGGTCACGGCACAGCGCTGGGGGGAGCGCTCCCAAGGCTCTAAAAAACCCACCTTCACGAGAAACCCCTGAGCAAGAAAGTTGCAGGGCTGTGAAGTGCCAGTGTAGACAAGCCCTTAGAGTTCTGACCTTGGGCATGTCCCTGCCTGCCTTGCTGAGTCACAAGGTGCATCTGCCTTCTCTCAATGGGTCATTTGTATCGCTGAGGGTCCTTCATGGGCCATCCAGCAGGCTAGGCAGTGCTGATGCCAAACTGTCTGGGGTGTCACCAGAAGCATTGCACAGGTTTGAAATACAGACATAGCTATAACTCATAAGACAAAGGTGATACAAACATATAAAGAAGATCATCATACCTCCCAAATTGTAACTTTTTTGCAGATATCTTACATGGCATATCTGGCTGTGACTGGTATCCCAGTGAGGGATAGCTATGGTCACTCCATTGGGGTGAACTGCAAAGAAAGGGGCAGACAATCCCCATAAAGCAGGAGGATATTCCAATACTGATAACTTCACATACAAAAATGATACCTGTATATAGATAGCCTAATTATAATCAGCAAATCATAACCTTTTCATAGACACCTCACTCGACAACCTTTATACAAAATTTGCTGCAAATATATACCAGTAGTTGCAACAACGATCCAAATGGTCCTATTCTAATCAGAGAATGTCACAATAAATGTTCAGGTCAGGGTTCGAATTTATCATTAGGGTGAGGACTAGGTCTGGGAGTCAGGGAAGGGGATACAGAAGATGTGACTTTGACCGACATAAATTCAGCAAGGAACCTTAGATGTAATCATGCTCGGAGCCCTGCTGTGAGAAGGTCGTCCGTTTCCTCATGTTGGGCAGGCAGGGGTTGGTGGAGTCCGGAGGGATTGTGAGAGACTACAATGTGGGGATTTGACTCCCACTTGTCCTGCATTTTATTACGCCCTCGGTGTCTATGGGTATGAACTAGTACATGGTCACCAGGCCTGAGGAGAGCCCCACTGGACTTGCGACCCTAAGTCCTTTTCCTCCTTTGCTCTTTGTCTTTTGTTGTATTGAGAGCAACTTCACAGGCTATCTTCAGCCTGTCATGGTGACCTTTGACCCAGTCATCCAAACTGTTCACCTCATCCTTAGAAAAGACTTCTTGATGCTTCTCTGGTAACGCCCTTAAGTTAGCCACCTGTGCAGGCATCAGCCCCTGGCGTGCTGCTTGAACTGGAACTGGCAGTCTCTCACCACGTCTTTCTTGAGGAAAGGGAACTCGTCCTCCCTTCTCCCTCTTTCTCACCCGCAGCTCATTTCCATTCTCCTCAAATGTTACCTTCACCCGAGGAACCACTCCCGCAGGCCAATGTACCTCTGCAGTGCTGTTTTGAGGATGCAACTCCACAGCCTTCAAACTTGAGTTTAGAAGACTCACTGGTCCTCTTCCTTTGATGACATTAGTCAGACATTGGCTGGCTGGAGCCCATTCGGTAGGTTTACCCCAGATGTAGGCTCTACAAGAGCTCCATATCTATTGGTATTTCCTGG